GGGGCGTAGGGGTGGGGGAGCTTTTCCTGACGGGATCCTGGACCCCAGGCCCCCACTGGCAACACCCCTGTTCACTACCCAATATCATACCACGTCCGCTTGCGTATGGTCGGAGTGGAGTTGAATAGCTTGGTAATTACGATGCTTGCCTTCGAACTCTGAATTCAATTCCAGACACAGTAACAGGGATTTGTTTTGCACCGCTCCACTCACTAAGCCTCCTAATGAGACTTACTATAGGCCTATATTTAGTGGCCCTTTGGCGTAGGTTTGTCTTGGTAAGGGATATGCCACTTAGAAAAGTGATAAAGTTTGCTTTTTGGCACACCCTTGGCCTTGGGCCTGAACCAATTTTTAAAAATAATAAAACATTCAAATGTTTAAGTCTGTTGCTTATCTGGACATTATTATTATACAAAATATACAATTTTTTGTATAGTCTACTCTTTGTATTATTAATGCAAACAGTAAAGCAAAAAATGCTTTTTCTATAGTTGTTTTTGAAAGCCACATTAGCTATTGATTATTGTTATTATTAGGTGTATTATTATTGTTATTAATATTAATATCATTCATATTATTATTATATTATTAGGTGTATTATTATTATAATTATTGTTGTTGTTATTACTACTACTACTACTACTACTACTACTACTACTACTACTACTACTACTACTACTACTACTACTACTACTCCTACTACTACTACTACTACTACTACTACTACTACTACTACCACTACTACTACTACTACTAGTAGTAGTAGTAGTAGTACTACTGTTATTATTATTAATATTATTATTATTATTATTATTATTATTATTATTATTATTATTATTTAAGAATGTTTTGCAAGCTTGTAATTTCATCGTTTAATTGGAGACAACAAGTTGTATCTTGATTCTTGAATATCTAAAATCCATATATTCAATTATGTTTATTCATTCATTCATTCATTCATTCATTCATTCATTCGTACATTCATTCATTTCATTTATTCATTCGTTTATTGATATACAGCATTTGGATTCGAACCAAAGACATACTGATCTCATTAACGTTCGACCATTCAATTGAGAAATGATTAGGCAATGTTAGTAATATTTTGGTCCGAATTGGATTTACCTCACGTTGAGCTGCTGACATGAGGTTATTTTGTACTTTCACACATGTTAAATGGAAACCACATACACATTGAAACTACAAATTTAGGCATTTACCAAATGTCATATTAATTAATATGAAATTTATCAAGCTTATCAATGTAAAAGTAAGAAAGTTGTTTATCTTTAAAAAAGATAGTACAGTAGCATCGTTTATTGTTAGAGGTTTCTAAGAAAAACACACCATGGAAGCAATTAATACATTAGAACAAATTAAAATAATAGTGCCTATGGGCCCATACTTAATTGATTACTATTAACTATGAGTGGCTGCTAAGAAGAATGAATTGTTACTGTATCTATATTAAAATAAACGCTCCACTCTGAATAAACGCCAACCTGGAATAAAATCCCCTTTAAGCGTCATTTGGAATAAACGACTTCCACGAATTTTTCCTCGCACAAAAGTCCACCTCCCCTCTACCCCTTCCCCCATAAATGACTATAAATAAATCTAATGGAAGCAACATGATTTACACATTCAAATAATGTCCTAATCCAGTAGAATTGCATTTATTAACCTGGTTGGGATCAATAAGTCTTTGTGATTCTGATGGTAAATTTTTCCCCCTCAAGAACGCTTCTCAATTAACAATAAACGCCCCGGGGAGTTTATTTGAATACATAAGGTATGACGGTATGTGTCTAAAAAAAATCACTTAGCAAATAAAGTACTGTATTTACACTCCAACAATGATTAGATTTTTTAAATTATTACCTTAACATACACACACACGGTACTTTAAGGAAAACAATAGATAGATTGATTTTGTTTCATGTTTTTTTTTTTATTTGAATTGTGTTGTCGTTAATAAAGTACTCATTTTATTAAAAATCATTATATTCCAACAGGCTGGTGAAATGAAAGAGTATGTAT